CTGTAGGCCCAATATTGAGCTGGCCTTGAGTCATACCTATCAGAACTCTTAATTCAGTAAATTATTATCTCTATAATAATTCACTCGACTCATTAACTATGGATGTACTAGGCCATAGTCCCCAAATAATACAAGGAAATCCAATCCATTGAATTCGTCTACCCTTAGTTATCGTATATTTATAGTCCCCCATTCATCTAATATATTGGAGACTATATACCGGGCATGATGCTGTTAGGCTTATACGAAATCTACTCTAGTCTCGTTATAATCAGATTCTCCCGAAGAACTATTTTATCTCTCAATCCGAATGACCATGGCTAGGGATTTGCCTGAGCGATAACACACATGATATTTCTCTCATGACACTAAGAGTAGATGATCATCTATCGATACTCAATTGCCCTCGTATAGTTGGCTACCACTCCCAATAACTGGCCGTACTAGATCTAGAACTTCTAGACCTACAAATCCAGTATCAAATAATGAAGTATTTATACAGGACATCCTTAGTATCTCAAATCTAAGGACTAGACACACAATTGGGATCATGGAATTATTGTTTAATAATAAGGTATCATTAATCATCTAACATTCTATGAGCGGATCATTTAGTGAACTCATTCTCCAATGAGCACTTACACTATATCCTTAGTGTCCCCACACTAGTAGCTATAAGACTAGTCGATTCCATCATATGAATGAGTATATAGCACATCGGTCTGTCCGGCTATCTCGATGTCCCTCTCGAGTAACCTATGATCGAGAATATTTCGGGTCTGTGTTTATAGGAGAATTGATCTCATTATTAAGATCTCATCATGATCTCGATCTAATTATCATTGCATAAATCCAAGGACATTACAATATATACAATAGGTAATATAAAGTAAGAAAATACCAATAATAATAATAAATAAAAAGATCATACTGCATATCATACGTATCATCACTCACGTGATTGACTTATAGGGCACCTATGACTAACAAGCAGGAGGCTGGACCCATTGTGGGTTTTGGCTCGACTATGTAAGCGGGAGGTTGGACCTACTGTGGTGGAATTTGTCTCGACCGCGTAAGTAGGAGGTTGGACCCACTGTGATGGGCTTTGTCTTGACCATGTAAGCGGGGGGATGGACCCACTATGAGTTTTGGCTCAATCATGTAAGGGGGAGGCTGGACCCACTATGGGTTTTTGGCTCGATCATGTAAGCGGAAAGCTAGATTCACTATGGTAGGCTTTGGGTCGATCGCGCAAGCAAGAGAATGGACCAATTGTGGGTTTTAGCTAGTCCGTGTAAGTGGGAGGCTAGACCCACTACGGGTTTTGGCTTGACCTCGTAAGCAGGAGGTTAGACCCACTATGGGTTTTGGCTTGACTACGTAAGCGAGAGGTTGGACCTATTGTGATGGGCTTTGGCTTAATCGCGTATGCGAGAGGCTCGACCCACTGTAGTGGACTTTTGCTCGATGCATAAGTGAGAGGCTAGACCCTTTGTGGTGGGCTTTGGATTGATAGTGTAAGTGGGAGGATAGATCCAGTATGGATTTTGGCTCGACCACGTAAGTGGGAGGCTGGACCCAATATGGTGGGCTTTGGCTCGATCGCATTAGTGAGCGGATGGACCCACTATGGGTTTTGGCCCAACCATATAAGCGGGAGGATGGACCCACTATAGGTTTTGGCTTGATTGCATAAGCGAGAGGCTAGACCAACTGTGGATTTTGGCTCGACCACATAAGCGGGATGTTGGACCCATTATGATGGGCTTTAGCTCGACCGCGTAAGCGAGAGGTTGGACCCACTATAGGTTTTGGCTCGACCACGTAAGCGAGAGGTTGGACCCACTATAGTGGGCTTTGGCTCGATAGCGTAAGTGGGAGGATGGACCCACTATGGTGGGCTTTGGCTTGACCGCGTAAGCAAGAGGTTGGACCTATTGGGAAACCATGGGAGCATCATATGTGCAACAAAAAATAAAGCAAAACCAATTTTTCAAAAGAATCATATTTGATCTTCGTGCGACAATTAAGAGCGAAAAACTCGTAAAACTAAAAACTATGTAACACGTGTAAGACTTTCTCACATAGAGAAAATTATATATCCCTAATCTATATATCTCAATCCATGAATGAAGGAGCTCTCACAAACTCCTCTCTAGTGGTGATCCACATGGTGGATGAAGCAACAACACACCTCCTCTCATGATGCATTCTTTCCTCGCCTTCGTGCACCATTACGCAATAGTAAACACAAGAAAGGGCTGACCCTTCTTGCTATTCTCATGCCTCTGATGGGGCTAATGACAAGGGAAGAATACGAGGGAGGAGAATAGGAGGTGGACAACCAAAGAAGTTTAGCCCATGATCTTTTGGCCTCTCATATTTATAGAGAACTTCTCTCAACTTAACCCTAATGGATCTTACCCTATTGGGCATTAGATTTTTATCCAATTATCTTAGAATATTAGATATTGGATCTCTATCTAATTATCCCTAGCTTAATGAAAATTTGATTTCTATTTAAATATCCACTTCGAGCTCTTATTGGGTTTCACCCAATGGATCCAATAAAATAAAGGCTTATTGAATATCACATATCTAATCCTCTATTCGTCGTATTATCAACTATATGTATGTGACTCTCTTGGCCCAATATCGAGCTAGTTGTGAGTTACACCTATTAGAACTCCTTTTCATTCAGTGAATTATTAATAATTCATTATAACTCATCGATTATGGACATACTAGACCACTACGCCATAGTCCCCAGATGGTTAAGGAGGATCTAATCTATTTAACCTGTCTACCCTTAGTTACCGCATATCTATAGTCTCTCGTTTATCTAATATCCCAAAGATCATATACTGAGCATGACGTTGTCAGGTCCATATAAAATTTATCTAAGTCTCACTTTAATCGGATTCTTCCAAAGAACTTTTTCATTCTCAATCCGAATCTCACTCTTGTCAGATTCATAATGATCCGAGTAACCTTGGCTAGGGATTTGCCCAAGTGAGAATACATGAGATATTTCTCTCATGATATTAAGAGTGAATGATCCTTTATGACACTCAATTGCCCTAAGAAGGTTGACTATCACTCTCGATGACTAGCTGTGCTTGATTTGGAACCTCAATACATATAAGTTCAATATTAAAGAGTGGAGTACTCATATAGGACATCCTTAGTGTCTCATGTCTAAGGACAAGACGTATACCTAAGACTACGGAATTACTATCTGACGATGATGTATCATTAACCAACCAACATTCCGTAAGTGAATCATTCAGTAAGATCATTCTCTAATGAGCACCTACACTATATCTCTAGTGTCCATACAAAAACAACTATGAGATTAGCTGTCTCCATCATATGAACGGGTGTATAGCACACTAGTCTGTCTAGTTATCCCGATGTCCTTTTCGAGTAACCTATGATCGGGAATATTTAGGGTTTGTGTTTATAAGTGAATTGGTCTCATTATCATGATCTCATCATGATCCAATTCCCACCGCACTGATCTAGGGACGTCACTATATATATATATATATATATATATATATATATATATATATATATATATATATATATATATATATATATATATATATATA